TCTCCATATTATCTTTCCGTTTGATTTAACTCAAATTTTTGTATGAAGCTGCTTACGTGAAGCCGTCTGATTTTGATTTTTAAACAATGTGCGGATTGAAGTTTGGCTCGAAATGATTCAAAATTGATTAGCGAAATTAGCGCCTCTATGCCATACCGTTATGTTCTACGAAACAGGTACGAAATGGAAAGTGCATCGATGCATGAATGGCTGCATTGTGAGAAAATGATTGGATTAGCATGTTTATTATATTAAATTGTTTGAAGTGCCATGTGAGAAATTTTCATGATATATATCAGTTGAAAAAGTGTAATCCTTTGAACGAAGAATAAAAAAACTCTCTTGATGATGGAGGAGAACAATAAATCCTTCACCGTAGAATAAAATACCCTTTTAAAGCAGTAATAAACCCTTTTATTGAAACCGTAGAATAAAATACCCTTAGTACGAAAGTAATAAACCCTTTTCTCGAAACCGCATATTAAAATACCCCTGGAGATAAAATCATATACCCTTCTCCCTAAATTTCAGATTAATAAATCCTTTTTTTTCTTGTATCATCTTTTTTTCATATACCCTTCGTTTCGTGGAACTCACTTATATTTTCGAAGAAAATGGTGAGTGTAAGTTTAAAGGCGAGATTTTTGCGGCTCCCTCACCCCTCCCCATTACAGACATTAATGAGTTTAAAATTGTGCTAATTAGGAGCTTGACTATTTAGGCTGCTATTTCTTCCTTTTTCAATTACAGACTACACGAAAAAAGCAATGTTTACCCATTACAGACCATAGTAACTAGCTTAGGGTACCATTACAGACCATAGTAACCAGTCTCTGCCCTTGTTAAATATACGAGCTAACAATTAATACTCAATTGCAGACATAAGTGCAAATAGGCAATGATCTAATTATAGGTTGTGGAAACCAGGGTAGATTTTTCACATGAATTATTTTTGATTTATTTTAGTAAGCCGAAGGGATATATGTGAGTTCCACATTTTCGCCCCAAAGGGGCTGCGCTAACAAGCTTTCATAAACCCTTCAAGGGTTTAGCATGATTTGTAGGAAGGGTAAGGGTTTATTATTCTACTCTTTTTATTTACAGTGCACTATGCAATATCGTAAAAGGCAACTGTCCTTGCTGTGAAAGTCTGTCTAAAATACCCTTTCCCCAGGTCGAACAGTCCGGCCTAGAAACGATCGGTTCCGGGTACTTCAGTTGATTTTGTGGAAGCAGTATTCCGGTAGGAAATTTGTCGGCGATTTCCGATCAATTCCTGCCGGTAAGCACCGGAACTTGGCAGGAATCCGCCGGAAAAAACCAGCCGTATTTTTGACCGAAATATTGCTGTCATGTTCCAGCGATTTCCTGTGTTTTCCTGCAGGATATGGTGACTTTGCCGCATATTTCCTGGAGTATCCTACGGGATCCAGTGACGGGAATGTTTGACCTGGGTTCATGAACAATAATATAAACCCTTTGATTGAAACCGTAAAATAAAGTACCCTTTCATGAACAATAATAAACCCTTCTATTGAAACCGCAGAATAAAATACCCTTCCATGGAAACTAATAAACCCTTCAATTGAAACCGTAGAATAAAATACCCTTCCATGAAAACTAATAAACCCTTATATTGAAATCGTAGAATAAGATACCCTTTGGCGAACAATAATAAACCCTTATCCTTGACTCTTGAAGCAAAATACCCTTTTTTTGTCATATACCCTTGGTTTCATAAACCCTCAGGTTCATAAACCCTTAAAGGGTTTATGATAGCGTCATAAACCCTTTAAGGGTTTATGAATATTTATAGATAGGGCAAGCGTTTATTAGTCTACGCTTTTTTTTACAGTGTATAACGTCTCGATCATATGGCTCAATGGTTCTGGCGATGGGTAAGTGTCACATTGTATGCATGTTTGAATCTAACCTTTATCTTTAAATAACTCCATTTAGGCTAGTTCAGAGTGGTCAACAATAAAAAAGCAGGACAGAATAATGAACGCGTGCTCTTGATTTTTTTCTATAAACCCTTGAAGGGTTTATGTGCACACCATATACCCTATGAAAGGTATACGAATATAAAAAGGGTATATGAAACTGTTTTAAGGGTTTTCTATTTCATAATTTTATTCAAAGTGTTTATTAATAAACGAATAAGTGTAGATTAATATACGTATTTCCAAAATCAGTTTATTATCCAATAATCAGGAGTAGATTATTATACGATTCATGAAAAACAAATCTTATTCTACAGATAGGAGTTGACTATTCTCCACTTTCAGAAAAAGCGTTTACTATAGTACCGTTGATGACCGACCAGTAGGCGATGCCATCAAAAGGATTCATTATTCTACGATCAATGGTTGATTATTCTACATTTTTAGCAGAAGCGTTTATTATAATACTGTTGATGGTAGATTATTGTACGACATCGTAAAAGGGTTCATTATTATATGATGAAGGGTACATTGGTTTACACTATAGCAATCAATTGTAAAACAAGTTCCATCTGTACTTGAGAAGAACACGCCGACTTTTAAAACTTTTATTGAGATTTCGTTAATTCTTCAAAAATTACGAGCCACAAAAAATATTTATTGCATCAATAGTGCATTATAGTTAAAAAACTATGTGATCAATATTTATAGTTCTAGTATTTTATGTTTCCATCAGTGTTTATATTACACGCATTATAGCAGTGTAATTTACATTTTTAACACAACGGTTCACTATTTTGGAACATAGGAAAAGCTTAAATTATATACCGTCGTAATTATTAATTATTCTATGTGACAAGTTAGATTCATCCACTAACCCAATTGTTGTACTTATGAGCCGATAGATATCTGTGCATGAGGGGATATGAAAACTAAAATAGTAGATGTTGCTATGAAAAATGCGTCGTGCTGCAATCAATCTAGAAGCATTTAGTATTCTACAACTAAGCATAGATTATTTCATCTTTAATTTTGATGAATTTATTATTCTACATTCAAACCTCAAATTTCCGAAATTGTCAATAGAAACGTTACAATCCTACAGTTTAATTGAAAATATGTAGCTATACCAGTCAAGATAAAGTAGTACACAAGGCTAAGTTCTAGTGTCAAAAAGCCTTCGTTTGGGTATGGTATTCGATTCTTTTATAGAAGTTGTGTAAAGTGAGTGACAAGATTATTTTGAGTCAAACTCGCTGCAAAATCTAGTTGATTGGCAGTTCTGACACTTTTTGAATGTCACGAATCGATGTGCCTGTTAGGATTTTGCTATAAATATTCGTTTATTCTATTTATAACGGAAGTAACAAAAAACGAAACGGTAATCGACGATACCGATAAACGATAACGATAATAAACGAACGAACTAGTCGCTCCACTTGTCACGGAGACGACTCGATATCTTCGTACACTTCTCTTCTCTCTGTTCTCTTCTGTATATACTAGATTGTCGATCCATATTTATATATACCTCGATGACGAATCAAATAGAAATAGACAAAAGAAAATAGCATAGAGGTTATTAGAACGATAGGTACCGTCTCATATCACAGTCTGTATTGATTAGTCGCTGCTAGAAAGAGATTTGTACGATTCCTTTTAATCATCTTGATTTTTATCTTTAGTTTTCATGCTAGATTTTGACCTTCGAGTGAATTATCTTTAGGTTTTCTAGTTTCGCTTGTTACTTAGTTAGTGAGTATTGGATTCTAAGACAAGATCGAGTAAGAGTTTCACCAAATATCAAGCTCAAAACATAGAGAAAAATAACGGATATGGTTTCTTCCAGCCTCTGAGAGTCTACCATTCTCTTGTTCATTATTATGAAATGTCATAGATAGGAAGCGTTAGTTACATATAATTATAACAACTACAAATTAATTCAGCATATCTCTCTTCTTAGACATGTGTCTATCATTAACCAGGGTGAAAAGGTCATGTATTCAGTTATTCTCGGACCTCTGGAAGTAGTTCATTGTACTCTTGAATCACTTTATATATCATAATATTCTCCCTGAAAACGATAGTTGAAGTCTATAATCGCCTTCATATACAGTATCATAAACCCTTGGGGCGGTTGATGAGATTAATAATCAGTTTCATATACCCTATCACAAATGCTGTCGATCATTCATGATGCCCATAAACGCTTTTCAATATCGTTTCTGAGAATCGCTCATGGGTATACTATTTTAATCAACCCTTTTTAAACTGAATGTCGAAGGTTATATCAGAACGTTTATGTTAATTATCAACCCTTGTCAGAGGTTTATGAAAGTGCAACGTGTCGCAACCCCTTTAAGGATTTATGAATCTTATTAACTGTTCAATAAACCTTCCAGAAAGAATATTTAACGTTAATAAGCTCTGTATTAAACCCTTTTTACAGAGTTGACAACAGGATTTATGACTCCTTGATAAACGATTGAAAAGGGTTTGCTACACGCTGCACTTTCATAAACCCTTTTTTTGGTTTTTTATTCTACGTTACTTTTACAGTGCACTATATACAGATACCACTGGTTCTATAATCGTCCGAGACACCATTAATTTTTCATTGATAAACCATTTTCGGACGGGCGACAGGGACGTTCGTCGCGACTACTCTTATCCGGTTTCATGACTACTCGTCAATTAGAGTTCTTGGACGCATCCGCATGACGATCAAAAGTTCGGACTAGTCCCAGACGAGAACTTTTCGAGACAAAAACTAGTCGGGACGGGGCGACACGAGTAGAAAAAGACTCGCCATTTAGCGCTTATTTTGCTCACTTGGGTGGAAACATCGGTTTGGTGAAAAGAAGACTAATCGTTGGTTTCAAACATTTGTCAACTTTCTCATATCCATTTATTTCTTAATTCAAATTGATGTATTTTCTCAAAACTTACAAGAAAAATAGAATTTGATATTTATGTTCAGGATTTCATGACACCATTGCGCGTATTTCACAGCACATATCGGTTATCGGGATGCTGAAAATAGTGAAACAAGTTTCTCTACGTAAATATATCTTCAATATTTACCCAATCGCAAGGCTCTTCAATAGCTGCTTCACGATTATAATCGTCATCTGACAGATACTGTCGCCGACGATTTTCCATCATCAGACAGTAGCGTAGAATCAAAGTCATAATGAGTGCACCGACTAGAAAACCACTGGCGATTATGTGGTCTCGTCGAGATACGGGTTTGTCCTCTCCACTAAACACCTATTTGGCACAAATATCTATGTTTGAATTAAACTCTCCCAAGAAAACTCATCCAACTGATAACCACACTGGAAACAAAATCGCTTTACATCAAACCATTTTTGAAACGAAATCGAAACTCTTACAAAGGTTTCGTAAATTTTTTATGAAATCTAAAAAGATTCCGAATTCGTTTCAAACTTATAAGCCTTTTTAGGTTCCGCACTATGTATGAAGCCATTTGTGGTTCCGTAATGGCGACCTTTGTTTTTCAGTACACTGTGTGAATTCATATTTCACTCATAGTTAGGGCTTATAGGTTAAATAAAAATTCTAAAAGGGTACGTGCACTTAGGTTCTTCTTCTCCAATAATGGTTAATTTACTGCATTTTCAGTCTAAAACATTTTATTATGAGAAAAATCGTAACAAGGGATTTCTACCTGAAAATGCTATCATTTATAGAGCTTATGCACCTTGTTATATCCTGCGATTTTTAACTCAAACAGATCAATATTTCTTGAGATATGGGATACCTCAAAAATTGACTATTTTTAGAGCTTTTGTGAAAATATATTATCTCGCAAGATAAGCATTCGTTGACGCTGGAAGTTTCAGGATGTAACAAGATCAATGAGCCCTACTATTGAAAATAATTTTCAGGTAGAAATCTCTTGTTGCGATTTTTATCTAGCTTATAAGTCCTGCCTATAAACAAAGCATGAGCTCCCGCGGTGGTTATTAGTTTGATGATTTCTCTTGTCAGCTGACAAGTCCTCGATTACCTGAGGCTGTATGATGGCACCAATCTGTCCAATACCCGACATCATACCAACAGCTACGGTCCGCTTTGTGTTACCTCCCACATTATTTGTAAGCCACGACCACAGGATAGAGAGTGCTGAAAACGTTCCACAACAAGCAATACAGACGCTGACATACATGACTAATTTCCCTCGTTCTTCTAGAGTTATCATCAATATAAACCCGAGTAGACCAAGGCATAGAAAAAAGACATGATGATAAGCATGTTCGTTACGACGTGACGACGAATAGCCACCTAGCAATATAGTGAAACAACTGATCACATATGGTATTATTGTCATCAAGTGTGCTTCTTCGATAGAATAATGCAAACCCTTCATGATGGATGGCAAGGATGTCATAAGACATTTTATGCCACCCAAATCGCCAATAATGATGGTAGCATACAGATACATTCGCCAATCGACAAACACGTACCACACTTGTCGCCATGAGAGCAACGAGTCGGATGCTCGCTCACTATTAGCCACGCCTGAATCTTGTCGAAGGAGGTTAGTAAGAAACTGTTTCTCGCAATTATCTAACCCTGATATGAAGGAAAAAATTGCTTAAAACACGGTCTTCTATTTGTTCTTACATTGAACAGTTTCAGGTATACTGCCAAGAGCAAGATAAGTCATAATACCTATTGGGATGACAGGCAGTCCTGGAAGCAAAAAGAGCCATTGCCAACTTTTCAAATTGGCAATGCCGTTCATTTTACTGCTTGCGTACGCCTAAAGACAAATATTGTAACCAGCAGACTCAACGTTATGATCAACATAATTACCAGAATGCCAACGAGTGCTCCGGAGGCGAACGTGGCAGTACAAAATATAGCAATTCTCATGATCTGTTCTCGTTTGGGATACCATAAGGAAAAATAAGTGATAATACCAGGAAAATAGCCAGCTATAACCATGCCCTTGATGGTCAATATATCATAAGATATCTATAGACAGATGCTGGATTGACTTACGAGAAAAAATCGAAGAATGATCACTTGACGAGCATTCGTTACAAAAGCCATGCCGATCGTAATTGCACCCCACGAAATTAAACTTAGCGATAAATAACGTGTTGTACCAAGCAAGCGCAGTATTAAGCTGCTCGGAATCGCAAAGATTAGCTGCAGATGAATATATGTATGATTTTTTAATGAAATTAGCAGACTAAGTCGTTTTTTTCATTGGAGAAGGTAAACAGCAAGAAAAAACTTACATATGCAATAAAAAAGGCTGATGTCGTCCAATTATTCTCCTCGTTTGTTAAATCCAGATCAACTTTGAAAGTAGTGAGTAAAGCATGACCTGTTAACATTTGAAACTCTTTTTTTGAAAAATGTTCGACAAGTATAAGAATAAGACCTATGGCGACTTGGAAGCCAAATCTAGCAATCTCCAATAATGCCAAAAATGGAATAAGTCGTCGATCAAGCTTACAAATGAGCCGAGATACGGCACGTTGATATCTAATTATTTCTTCTTCTTGAATCACCATGTCAAACGGTCCTTGGTTGCCCATTTTTAATTTTCTATAGTGGAAAATTTTTTTTAATATATGTATAATGCGTCATGTATTGTCACATTAATAAATCACTTCCTACCAACTAACTGATAACTAATCAGACGAAACACAAAGTTTACTGACATATTTAAGAAATAAAACGGAAGAGAAAGAGAAAATAAAGTGCAGAGCAAACAGTCGACAAGATGGCAACATTCCCATAAAAAATTTGTTGTCACTCTCTACCCATGATAAAATTCAGTTGATTTTACAAAGGCTTCTCCCAATGGACATACGCTCCCTTTAACTTGGTATGCTAATAAAGTGTGCTTTCGAAGCTTAAAAGTTACCCAGAATTAGGGGTGGGCCATTAACAATAATTTTATATTAATGTCAATGTTCTTAAATGATATTAACGGTTAACGGAAACATTCACCATTAGTATGAATAGTAATGTTTTCGTTAATATTATGGATTATATTTTCATTAATCATTAATATTAATGTTAATGTTTTCATTAAAATCAATGACTTAATATTAATGGTTAATGTTTTCATGAAAGCATTATAACTTTCCATATTAAGTAATTAACACTTTCGGAGAAAACATTAGCTATTAAGATCAGTTAATTGATTAATAATTGTAGATAATGCTTCNTTAACCGTTAATATCATTTAAGAACATTGACATTAATATTAATGATTAATGAAAACATTAATTTTAAAATTAATGTTAATGTTTTTCATTAATCATTAATATTAATGAATTAAGTTTTTCTTAGAAAACATTAAGCATTAATATTAATGGCTAATGAAAGTCATTAATTAAGTTCCGTTAAAAAAAATGGTCCACCCCTACCCAGAATACTTCATGGGTATGAAGTATTCTTAAGTGAGTCATTATCATTGTAGTGAATTTTCTATTTTTCAAAAAGATAGTCCCACAAAAATTGAATGGTGTAATATCAAACTGTATTTTTTCTGTAAATGAGTGTCTTAGCTCTTTAAATGCATTAAAAATTTCTTCCAAAATAGAAAATTCGTTTCGATTTACTCAGCCCTCTAGTGAACAAGAATAATGTCGCAACCTGTCAAATTAGAAAATAGTATGAAAAACAATCACCGTTTGTTAGTAGTGATGGTTCAGAAAACTGCATGACGAGGATATGGTTAAAGAAAATATTTTCACCCACACTCTCGTGTGTTTGACTCACGTCCTGGGATCAGAGAAAGAACACATGCACAAGTGAATCAGTGTAACACTAACCACCACATAATATTGCTTCATTATTTTAGATGCATGAAGCTCTTGTATCAGACATATTTCCAGTCAATACTACATATTCTGTCACCTGGATGTGGAAATCCAACAATGATCCTCTTGATTCTAAACTACCAGACAAATGGAGTGCCTATTCGGCGGCTATTTCAGCGAACATAGAACTGGCTTATAGATGTCATTTATCACAAGTATGCATCGATCAAAATTATGTAATTGATCTCAAAAAAATGATACAAGTATGTACTGATGATACTCACCGACAGCGTCTCGTAAAACGATGTCCTCTGTCAGACATGGATGACGATTGTATTGACTGGCGTCGTGAACGTTTTGCCTTTGAATTGGATCAGCAGGTAACGGATAGTATCCAAACAAACACAAGTGTAGATAATATACAATACTATGGCTCCAGATTTATTGCTGATTGGTTACTCAAATTTGCTGACGGAAGCCTAAAAGTGAAGTTTGATACAATATTCCCAGCCCTTGTTAATGGCATTCGAACTGAGGGATACTTAAATGGAGCATCAGAAAAAATAATCAAATGGTTGACAGATAAACTTGAGGAAGTGAGAGATAAGGTGCAAAAGAAAAATGAATTCAAACGTATTACATACTTGTCGAAATGTTGTGCAAAATTATACACGAAAAACTGTTTCCTATTTCGGCTTATAAATATAACTCTTCGAGAAGATGATCGTACAAAATTGAACACACTTGGGCCATATTGTTACCTTGTTTATAACTATATAGGTTGTTACACTCATGATTTCTTATCTGTGCGACATCGTCTTCTTCGACACTTTCGTAATGCACAACCACGTTCGCTTGTTGTTTATCGAGGGGATTCTGTGCCGAAACAAAAGCTTGATGAATATCAACAAGCAGCTGGACAACGTCACAAATATTTCAAATGGCTTTCTTTTGTTTCAACCTCATATAAACGTGACGTAGGGGAATGTTTTGCACGCAATGTATTGTATATTATTGAACTCAAAGGAGCCGTGTCGAATGATCAATTTGCTGATTTATGCGACAATACATTTATGCCAGATGAAGAAGAAGTACTGTTGCGCCCTGGTGTTCGATTTCAGGTGAAAAGCGTCACTTTCGATTCCGAAAGAAGTTTGCAATTAATTAGCATAAAAATCGTACCATCGTATATATCATATTTAAGATAGAAATACAATGTTGTTTTCCAATAAGTAGTAGGATGTGGGTGTGGATATTGACATTCGTTAAATGAAGAGTTACGCCCACACTCGCACTCATTTTTTTTGTTATTTAGTCTAATTTATGTTTATAATGCATTATCAAATTTATATATCTACGCAAAAACCCATGAAAATAACTGGTACACGATGCACGATTGTTATTTCATTTGAATTATTTGTTGTCATATAACCATATTTAAGAATGAGGGTGCAAATGTGAGACTTTCAGTAGATATGAATGTTTATGATTACTCATTACATCCATAGCCATAGTCATTGTGTGTGATGATGGGAGTCCAACAGCTAAGAATACATAGAATAATCAATCTCAGAAGAAGTCAATAATATTCTGAACGGCTAAAAATAAACTAGTTATGTTACGTTTAAAAAAGTAAATTCATATTGATCTCTGATAGGCAAGATGCTAGAAAAGCTCATGTGCATTTCTACTTGTAAACAGGTTTCATTATGATTTAGGCAAAAAAAAGAAACGTTGATATTATTTTTGTTTTTCTTTTTGTTTTAAAAAATATAAAGTTAGTGACGTTATCATTTTATTTTAATTCTTTATAAAAAAAAATAAAGAGAAAAAGAAAAAATGGAAACTGTTAATAATACAGAAAACTGATCGATAAGAAACGAGTACATTCTACTTATTTGAGGTGAGTAGAATGATGTTATGTAAGAGAAAAAAACGAGAAATATATCACACAAAGATGTTTAACCAAATGTGATCAAGAGCATGAATGAAAAAATCAGTACAGGCGTAACAAATAAATGAAATGTTGAACAGTCAAAACGCGAGTCATCTATCCATCGGCATTCTCTCTATGAAGAGTGAATTTGTGATGTCATTTTGTTGCTTAATCCCCACCAATATATTCTGAACAGCTAACTGAAGCTAAAACGAGACAAAATTAAGAACTAGACGTTTTTAAAACCAGAGAAAAAAATACGAATTATGGTCTAACAAATAGTGATCATGTTATGGGTAGTATTAAGAATTTTCAATGGAAATTTTCTATTTTAATAATGGTTTATATCGTTAAAATATTCTTTGAAACAACTTAGAATTTTTAAATATATTTCTACATATAATTGGAAAATGCAGCTTCTCTATTGGTCTACGAAAATTAAGACTCCAATTGAAACTCGTTCTAGTTCACCAGCAAGCAAAAATATCATTTGAATACAACTGTAGCTTACATGGCACGTTGCTGAACGATGTGCCGCCGACGGTGAAGTAAATAAATCCTGTTACTACATTGTTGCACGTTAAATCTAGTTTAATTGGTAAGCCAGCCAAAAATGTTGCTGATAAAAGATGAGACAAATGATGTTAAAAATAGAGATGGTGAGATGAGCTTACCGAGATTAGCTTGAGTTGATTGGATAGTTGGCACGACGATATTTAGGCGAGTAGCAAATATTACTTTTGAGAACGATGAAGTTGGCCCAGTCGAGCCGGTGTACGCCGAAATTCATGCATTCGAAGCCAATCCATATACCCAGGTGAATGAATCCGACAGCGGGTCTTATCGAATCCTATGGGATCCGACTCCCCGACAGAATCCGATAGAATTCCTGAACATGAACCTATTGTCGGCTCCGACGCAAAAAATAATCTTCTTATTCACGATCAAATAAGCATTTTGAGTCATCATAGTGCATGGGTGATTCGATAGAGTTGAATTCCATTAAACTACAACATCAGATCTGATCGGATCCAATACCAATGATCCAACTGTAGGTCCGTTTCCAGGAATCCCATAAGATTTCGTAGTTTTTATTGAAATACATATGGTATTCGGTATATTCACCGACTGACTCTTGTCGGAATCCGATAGGATCCTACTATCGGAATGATTCTCCTTGGTAACGTGCCACTGTCACAGCTCTGTTCAGTTGCAATACTTGTTCCATTTGAGAAGATAATTGGATTTCCCGTATTGATTGTTGTGTCATCTGGACTATTTGGCTGAGCAAGAGGCATAGTAAACGAAGGATGAATTGGATTTGTGAAACTGTATATACAACCAATGGAATAATTTCCTAATGTATGATGCTCACATTTTCTGTAGTATATGAAGAATTACAACTTACCCACGTCCGATTGAACGAGTGAAATAAATAAGGAAACAACAAGTGCAATCAAGATTTTCATCGATGATGATAAACTAGCAAGAATTATAAACAGGTATGCAGTGATTGAATTAAGAGTATGTATTGAAAAATACTCAATAAAATATATCTTACTTTTATATCACCTCTCTAGCGAGACAGAAAAAGAATAGTTTATCTGCGATAACGACCTGTATTCGTTGCTACGAACGATAATTTGTTGCACAGGTCAAAAGTAGAGAAAGAGATGAGATAGCATATATCTTTCCCTTATGTACTGTAGGAAACTGATGTGACCAATTCTGATAGTCGTATATTGAAGAGAATTACGCGAATAAACTAATGCACAACTATCAAGAAAAATAAATAGTGCGATTAATCACAATGCTAATCAATTTCAACATAAAATTGCTCCTTCATTTGGTATTTCAATTGAAATAATATATAAACATTTGAGTCCGGTTTGAGTCGTGTCAGCTCACCAAAAAAAGCTGCAAATGCCATGGTGTTATCTCATTCTTATACTATGATAATACTTGCGGAAATTTCTCCTCTAACTGCTGGCATCACTACTGAACAGCTCTAAAATAAAAATTAAAATAAAACATCTAAGGTAATGTATTATATTTAGCTTAATAACGCCTATGGAAATGGTAGTCACACTATAAGGTATTGAATTTGTAATAGTGTACTTAGAATCAACATTCAAAAGTTATAGTCTTTGGAAGCTATCATGATTCAGATATGGCAAAAAACTTATGGAATTGCTTCATTGTTTGATTCTACTGCATCCTTAACTATTATAGATACAGACAAATTTTAAAAAATCATAAAGAAAGAAAGATGGAAAAAGCAAAGATTGACTATCATGAGTCTATCTTGCCACTGTCTCATCACAAAACCAACACAAGAACGAAAGATTCATATCATAGAAATACAGAGAAGCGAGATAGAAATACACATATCACCCTCGTAGGCACATATTCAACGATCAAGCAGAAAAGGGAATATTGAAGGACGAATGCGCAAGAAAAACATGGCATTTTGTAGTTCGAAAATGTATCATATAGGTTCAAGCACATTACAATGGCTAAAAACCAAGTTTTTGAGTATCTTCTTAAGAACGTAAATCATAGTACTCCTCTAAATATTTTACTATTTCAATTTCACAACCAATTGAGTTGCATTCCCTAGGGCATGTACTGAACAAAGGGTACCCGAAGAAGTACGCTGCTACTAGTATGTCTTAGGAAGTTTATGGTACTGGAGTACTTAAAAGTACTTTTAGGTACCTTTTAGATACTCAGGTAGGTACCCTTCTGGAAAGCAACTAGTCAATGAGTACTTGAAGGTACCGATCAAGTACTCAACTGAGTACTATTGCACAATATGCTTAGGTACCCCGCCACCAAAATTGCGGTAGGTTGATGATCGAACCCAATCTTTGAATTTTTGCATTTTTTTTCTCTCAAAACAATTTATTAAATTTTTTTCGATTTAATTTAATTTAATTTTTCCAATTCTTAAAACTCTAGCAGGTCAAATTTCGGGATCTAACCGAACTTGAGCTGGTCGAATCTCCATCCGATCACTTCAGGGTAGTCCGATCTTAATTTACGATTAAGATCGGCATGTTCTCGATTAATAAATAGTCAATAAACAATCTAGAAAGAAAATATGAAAATAGTTTATTTTCTTATGGTTCACTGAGTTGTTTATAAGGAGCCGTTCACGCAAAGTAAAACGGTGAATGAACAGCCGCTACGCAGAACGCGACAAACCTAGGATACCCTGTAGAGCTTTCCTCAGTAAAATTACAGGTGTGGGTACCCATACAAGCACTTGTTCAGCGAAACATACTACTATGGTTACCCAATGCACTACCTACACCAGTATGGTTACTGAGAATTTGCTAAGTACACTTAATAGGTACCCTGGCATGACTTTCTCACTATATGGGTACCCTGAACCCAGTACATTCCCTAGGGTTATTATTATTTTTAATTATAAATGATTTGTATTTTCTAAATACTGGAATTAGATTAATCTGAAGACGCCAGTTATAAAATGTATCTTTGTAAAAATTAAAATAATTTTAAAATAAAGAATAAACAAGTACGTTCTTTGAATTGAAATATTCCTTACGGAGTTAATATGATAGAGAAGGTAAGAATCGCTGTGAGATGATTATAAAATATCGAAAAGTTGGTCTATTGCATCAAGTGATATATTTAGTTTAGCTTTTCTCAATCTTAAATAAATCATTTTAATTGTTCTGTTTTCTCTTCGTTTTCATATGATTGAAATTATCTTTTTCATTAAGAGGTGAATCATTCACTTTAATTTCAACGCAAGTCAAGAGTTTTTACTTAATTATTAAGATGAGTAAAAAACGAATAGCATCCGCCATTTAATATTAACATATTAGGTAGTGTATGTCGGTGTCATTTTGTTCGTGTTATGCATCATAGTCTCTCTTCCTATTGTTCATTTATTAGCCTTTCCCTTCTCGTTCCCTATTGAGTATATAAGCGTATGCTCTGTATGTCAGCGATGCGATTTATGATACAACGAAGTCAAATAAAGGGTAGTTCCATCAGCACAAGCATATCTTGTATCGAAAATCGTCACACACGTAATATCCTGTAAGTTTCATTAATGAACTCTAGCAATCATTAGAACGAAGTTTATCAGTTAAATGATATTCACTATAAAGATAAATATTTAAATTTTAATTGAAATCTACTTCTGAAAAACTTGATGATTATTTTATTGCTCTTGAATATTTAAAATAGAAATAATATAATTAATATAGTTTTGAGGAAATTTATGTGCTTTCGCACCATTGACAATTGTCTGAACATATTCTTTTGGTGGAATAAAATTCTCTTCACTAGTTGCTTCATCGATAAATGTGATTGCTTCAACAATTCTATTATCATCAACAAGTTCAATGTTGATTTCAATCATTTTATAGCCAGGTTCACTCTTCAACAAATAGTCAAAATGTTTTTCACTGATAAGATAAACAATTCCGTATAGAGAAGAATCTTTTTTTGTATAATATTCGCTCGGCCTTGTCCATCTGCTCGTTTCTGGTTAAAATCATCACATTGATCAAACTAGATGGTATTCGAGTTTCACTCGACTACGAAATGCGGTGCGAAGCACACGAGACGAATTTTCGAAAGTAGCGAGAATAAGATTTAAAAATAAATGATTCACTTTAAGATTCATTACAAACGTTTATTTTTTTAAAATTTCCGTATACGAATTTTGAATAAAAATTTCGCATTCACTATTCTTAAATCGATCATTTTGAAATTCATCACTAGGAAATCTCTCTGAAAATGTAACAACCAGTTGTCTAAGAATTTTTTTCATTGAACGATTAATTATTTTAATGATTCACTATCTTAGATCAGATGCGAAGAAATAGACTATTGGCTACTATTACTTGATGACGTCATTTTAATTAGCGCGAAACTATAAAACAATAAAACGTTTCAAAATCATCATTGTCGAATGATATTTTTAGGCGAACGAAGCCTAGTATTGAAAATTGGAAAAAAGATGTAACAAGTTCCACCTCCATAGTTTTATATCTAGTTTGAATGGATTTTCTATCACTTACGGTTCTCTAGATCATCGCGCTACTTTATTAGAGCTTTTATGCATACTC